ACTTCGAGATATCAAGTAACTTGATCCAAGTATGTTATTTTAATACAAACATATAGCTGACGGTATTGAGATTTTTACTCCGCTAATAAACAATGGAACATTAAATTTCCCCGACGATAAAAAACAACCTCGATATGGACGACGCCTTAGGACGACGCACAGTGCTGCGGATTTGAATTCTAGCGAGACAAAACCGAATTTTTTAGAAACAAGGCAAAAAAAGTTTATTGATAAGAATAGATAGTAGTCATTCTAATTGATATAAAAATTCAACAATTATTTTTTTGTATTGTATATTTTTTGTATTTTGATAAGCTTGTATCAACCCAATTTAGTCGTTTTCTGCTCAGCTTGGCAGAAGTCATACGAAAATAAAAATTTATTAGGACGAATACGTTCTATTCAAAAACCAAATTATGTTGCAGATTGTTAAAGGTAAGTACTTTTATACTGTAGTATTCTTTGCTGTAGTTATTTTATTCGCGAAAAAGCCTCGTGACTCTGTTCTACAGATATCACACTTTCACTTTTTTTTCAAATATCGCCATATTGGGTGAAGTAGATCTGTTGAGTTACCAATAGTTACCACCAAGTATTGACCAATTTTAATGCTACAATATCTGTAGTTTCTATGCTCATATTTTTTTTACCGCACGTTGCCGCACCACTGAAAAAAAAAATAATTCAGGAGTCTCGCACCGGTTTAGCCGTGAAGAATTTTTTGAAGCCCTCAAGGAAAGACTGGAAAGAGGCGTTTTAAAACCAACTTTTAAGACCAGTTTGAGCGTTTTGTGGCGTGTCGTGATGCAATTTTTGGATGTCAACTCTTTTAGTGACGGTGAAAAGAAAGGTGTTGAGACCCAGCTGCGATCATTTTCCATTATTTTGTATCGAAAGTGGAAAAATAGTATATTCTATACCTAGGTAGAGAAGTTGGTCATTATATACCGAAAGCTTTTATATATTGCTTGAGGTATATAATGACTTTCTCTACCGAGGAATATATAGAATTTTTTTTACTACTGCTAGTAAAAAATAAAAAATTTGTTTAAAATCTGTGTTCTAATTATTTTTTGTGAACCCCCTCTTGAAAGTGCTGCCCTCTATTAACAGCTTATATAACTTCCTATGTACCTACAGAAACCTGTATTTTTTTTCAAATTGACGTATGAAATTGAAATTGAACCAATAGAAACATGACAATATCCTTGCGTCATGACGTCACTTTCATTATTGACCTAGGTATTTTTTCATTATTTTCATTATTAACCTAGGGAGAGAAATTCAATTTTTTCTTAGAAAAATAGATTGAATAATGTCTATTTCTCAGGTTAGTGGTAAAAAAAAGTTGTTTTTCTCCGAATGTCAGTAAAAGCGGCCTTTTAATGACACTTGACAAGATCAAAAGTTGTATTTTTACTGCCTAGGCAGTACTACAGTGGCTAAATAAACCTTTACATACAGTGGCGACAATAGAGGTCCCGCCGCCATCTTGTTCCCAACCTCTTGTTACTTTTAAATATTAATATATAGGATTTAAATGAACATCTATCATAAAAAATTGAAATTGGACGTATTTGATGACCATTATCAGGTCCATCAAAAACGTGTTTTCCATGATTTATGATAGATGTTCACCTAAATCCCATATATTCACACTTAAAAGTAACAAGAGGTTGGGAACAAGATGGCGGCGTTTTCAATATAAATATATGGGATTTTAGAACCAATCAAAAATGAGACAGCAATTGTCGCCACTGTGGGTAATAGAGTCACTGTAGGCAGTACAAGTGGACTTTTACTGCCTAGGCATTAAAAGTGACAGTGTCACAACGTTCCAGGTAATAATTTCACTCAATTTGGCATTTGAAATTGATGGTGAGAATCACAATTGTCAAAATAATTTAATTATTTGGATAATTTTAATGAATGAAATAAATAGAAAAAAGATGTCCATGTGTGAATTTGAACATTCGAAGAAAAAATTATATATTTTACATGGCAGAAAAGTACAAGATTTAATGCCGCGGCTGGTGTTGCATAGCCGAGGCTAGGAAACTAGTAAAACAAATAACTATTTTCGTGCTTAGTTAAAAAATAAAAAATTAAAAAACAGCAACTTTCATCAGAGGATCACTTTTTCATATACGAGGTAACTAAAACGTTACAGGTACTATAAGCGACTTTTTTGCCACTTTCTATAAATGGAATAAAATCATCGAATAAAAAACAATTTTTATTTCTTCATGTCATTTCAATAATAAAGGTACAAGGATTTTTAATAAATATCAATTTTTTGGCCTGTTTTCTGGTAATTTGAAAAATATCGAAAACATTTCGCAAAAATATTGGCTTGATTAAATTTAGAAAAAAGGTATTGGATCATTTAGAAAGATTTCATGATAATTCTAAATTTGTTATTCCAAATTTTTGTTTTCTGTAGGTCAATGCAACAAGATCAAAGTGGTCTGAAAATGAATTTTTGGTTTTTTGCAATTTGTCGCGGGACAATTAAGCAGAATTACCGCAATGGACTTTTTTTTTGTTAGTTTCACTTTGAATTAGTTGAACCAAGTGGAAAGTTTTTGATATTTTTCAAATCGAATCCTGAACGACTTTTCTCTCTACAATTTTTCGATTTCTGGTCATCTTACCCCACTTTTTACATATTTGAGGCGAACTTTTCAAATTTGCCGTCATGACTGTGGTCATATGACATCTGTGACAGTGATTTTTTTTGTTGATGGGTACGCTGAATCGATCCCACGTAACATTTTTTTTGATATCTTAATAATAAAATATTTTCCTATTCGTTGCAAACTTTTTGGCGGTCACAGAAAACAGAGCAAACTACAAAAATACATATGGATACTATTTTTTGATATTCAAGTCTAAAAAAAATGCTACTGAGGTTTTGTCCCGCTAGAATTCAAATCCGCATCACTGTGCGACGGTAATAAATAAAATGGTACCTTTAAGAAGTACACAATTTGATGAATCAGCATGTTATAATCTTGTAAACTATTGTAAACAAATCGATAACTATTGCGACTGATTTTTTCGCAGTAATTATTTTGCCACTAGATTTTCATCAAGTCGAAATAAATGAAAATTCGATAAGAAAACCGGCGTTTGATGTTGAAAATGGACAAAACGGATTTAACAGAATGCCCTTTAGATTAAAGCACCAGAAATTTTCCAAAGAGAGTTATTACCGAAAATTAATGAAGAATTTTGAGAAATTGACATCTTGCTTGAAAAAAAGTTAAAAAATAATACACAATATCTACAAAACTTATATAAGTTAGTGTTTATCGGAACATCCTGACTTCAAGAAAACATTTTTGCTGACAACAAGGTACAGTGGGAGTCATTGCAATTGGCACATACTCTTTTAACGTTCCTCGTAATAAGTCAAAATTGTTACCAATAAATTTATTTAGTGCAGTGGTGTAGGCACATAATATTTTACACTTTTCTCTTTAAATTCATGATTGTGCTACTGCTCGAACTGTCTCACCTTGTGCTATCATTTCAGTTGCTTGTTGCTCGTCTTTTCGACATTGTTGCGCATAAAATATGGTAAACCATTTTAGCAAACAAATATTTCTTTCCTTCAACATTTTATAAAAACTATTATGTTCACCACTGATTGTCTGATTTATCAATCTGACACGATTTTGACATTACCTGTGTGTCAAAGAAGTAAAATTTTGACACTTCACGGGGGATGTTCATATAGTGTGTGCTAATTGCAATGATTCTCACTGTACATGAAACTATGAAATCGGAGCTGTTTTATCTCAACGACCTTTTGGAGCTGAGCTTGCAAACGGAAGCAGAACATTAAACCCGGCTTAGAGTGGGTATTATAAAACTATTTTGACAGTATAACTAAAAGTTAACTTCCGGAATGACGTTACTTTTCATAGTAATTCCAGAAGTTAACTGTTGGCTTTCTGTCAAAATAGTTTTATAATACCCGCCCTAAATGCAACGATTGAAGAGGAACTTTTGGCAATCGTATAGGTAACAAAAAAATTGTTGTCTGATCATAAACCCTTACAATGGTTATTCAATGTCAAAGAACCAGGTTCTGAATTAGTACGATGGCGACTAAAATTATCTCTGAATTTGATTATGAGATAAGGTATAGAAAAGGAGTCCTTGAAAATAAATGCAGACGCGCTATCAAGAGATCAGATCCTGATGCAAAATTAACATCCTCAGAAGAAGAATTTCACAAATTTTGCAAAATAATCTCTAGGGCACTACAACCTCAGGCGGATTCTAATGAAATGACACCCGAATATTTGGAAATTTTATTTTGCGTAAAGCGTAAGTGCGAGTTGTAGCTTCTGGCTTGGACAATATTGCATCAGATGTGTCTATAGATGACAATGATTGGAAATTAACCCTCACAAGTTATCTCCTAAGAAGCTGACAAATTTGACAATGGAGATTTGCTAAAAATGTTTAGCTAGCAAAAAAAATTAGAATAAGAACACTTTTGCAATCAACACTGAATATGAATTATTAAATATAAATGGCAAAACACAAGAGAGCAGATAGAGCAGAGCTAATGGGCTGCGGACCTTGGAAATAAATGTCCTTCTTACAAAAATTATGCCAACGTTTCGAGTTTGGTGTGCTATAAAATAATTGATTTTAAATTTTTTTGCCTGCCACTGTTTTTTAATGTGTTTCCGCAATTCATTTTGGCGTGAAACTATCTTGCTGATAAAATAGGTATGTGATTAATTCTCTTCTTTGTTACCTATAAATTATTTATCCATATTTTTGACTAATCGACAAAAGTCTAGTGTTTTTTTTTATTCTCTGTTTAAAACAGTGGTTTCTGTTTAAAAAATGTAAGTATTTATTTTTTTTTTTTTATCATTATGTCAAAAATATACCACAATACAATTTACAATAATTATTACATAGATGAGGACAAAAAATAAAAAGTTTTACTGGTGCAGATCCTACAGAGTACTTACCACTTTACGAGCACAATAAGCACACACTAGTTGATCATATCAGTTCAACAGTAAACTGAGAGACTGAAATATGAAACATTTAACGAAGGTTATTACATGGTTTTTCATAGGTTTTTCCATTTGCCATATCAGTGCAGCACGAATTGCTCCCTAGAATTGTTCTGAAAATATTTCTCGATGACCCAATTCTGTTTGATTTATTTGTGATCAGTGTTTTGTGACTGCTGCCTTCTACTGAGTTCCTTTCTTGTTCAGTTAACTCAGGAGTTTTGGCGCTATAACCAGTTAGGGCTGTTACTCCCAATTTGAATTTATAAATGCATTGAATGTAATAGGATTAACTACTCAAACTCAAGTTTTAAAGATTACTTTGAAGTCCAATGTTTAAAAAAAATAAGAAAATTTGAGGGTGGATATTTAGTATGTGACAAAAAAAAACGCTTCACCCATCGCCCACTAAAAGAGTATATTTTTTTACAAATTTTCTACATATGTTAATGGTGTAAAAAATAACAAATATTGATTAAATTTTAATTTATCTTTGTATTTTTTATTAAATTAAATTTTACTTTTTCTAAGCATATATACCTACTTGTATTTGGTTAACAATTATTTACTTCTATGGGGTGGTTATTTTTTTCTCACACAGTATATTTTTCCCATTATCCAGTGGAGGTTATCTTTTATGCAAATTTCTTCTCGATCAAATATGATAAAATTGTGAACCTTCAACTAACAATAACTGAAAAACTACAAATTCATTTAAAAACACACTTTAATCAAAGGCAAGTGTCAGTAAAACATTTTAAAAAAACAAACACAAATTAAAAATTACTTATTTAAAGGGGACATTGCCTTTGCATCCCAACTCTCTCTCCAATAAGTTAACAGTCTACTTTCAGAATTATTACAGAAAGCTTTAAAATCTTTTAAACACTTAATTTGAAAATTACTATCTACGCCTTGGTTGGTGCGCCATTTTTTACTGATCATATGATTCCAACACCATAAAAATCCCATCTAAAATAAAATAGGATTTTACTATTTAGCATTAGGAAAATCTGAATGTTTACCTTTTTTGAATTATCATAATCATCCTTATTCTGACCAGAAACATGCCTGGTGATATAGGCTTCATGAGGACTAGGAACAGAATCTGCATGTAAATTATATTTGGATTTAGTTAATAGCTGTCGATTTTCCTTCATACTGTTCGTCCTGCTCCTGTCAGACCTCGGAGTGTTGAGGGAAATTAAAATGAATATCGTTCCAGTGGCGTGAATGTATTGATGCTCTCTGGATCGATTTTCATTAGTGATCGATGGTTCAGTTAAGCATTTGATAAAACCGAATCTTTGAACTATAGCTTCTTGGAATAGGAACATGCGCTCCTGCCAGGATTCTTCAGGAAATGCTAAGGAATGCATAATTTTGTTGGTAGGTGTTAGTAACTTATAACTACTCAGGAAATTCAGTTGAAAGAATTGAGACACACACACAAAACCTATTTAAAAAAAAAATATAGGAGTTTTTCCAACTTTGCGTAGCACATAATTTTATGACAAGTTATTCTTTGATGAATATTCTTTGGTACATAAATAAATAAAATATTGTCACGGCTCTGATGGGGTGCATGACAGAAATCTTGGGTTCGTTTATTCCAATATCAAAGTCCAATTAACACAACAATAATTTATTCCGCGTTACTACACACTCTGACACAAGTTGTTTAAGTTAATTAGTGAAGTAATTAACTTAAACAACTTAACTTTTTACAACTTTCACAATAATCACTGTCTAAAACGTATCACAGCCAATCCTTAACTAAATACTACTAACCAATACAGGTCTGGACCGTAATCAATTCTTGTAAAATCCAGAATAAACACTAGAATCCGCTGTCCAATGCTGTAAACCTTGGCAATTCCGCCAGATTTTTGCGACACTGTCCTTCTCTTAAGGTTGATCGTCCCGATCAACTTCGCGCCCATGGTATTTCGTCAGTCTGTCCAAATGTACAGCTTTCATCTTACTCCTGGTGTGGCTCTGAACTCGATAAACCAAATCATTAATCCTCTTGATTATTCTGTAGGGTCCTTCCCATGCTGAAGACAATTTCGGCGACACTCATTTCTTTCTAGCTGGATTATAAAGCCAAACTAAATCACCTTCTTGAAATCCGGCTGAATTGGCTCTCAAGTCGTATCTGGTCTTCATTCGGTCACTGGCCAGCTGAATATGCTCCCGAGCTAAATCATGTATCCCCAGAAGTCATACCCTTACTTCGTCGGCATAATCCCGAATTTATTTTCGTTCTTCTTCAGGTATTCCTAGGGTTGTTAGACCTCCTATTTTTAATATGAGACTCATATATTTCTACTATATCTCATATTTCATATTAGCAAGTTTAATATGAGACTATTTCTCATATATTTTCCTAAAAAAAAAAAAGAAACCATGTATATCACTATTATCACTACCGTACACGTGATAGGCCGGTTTCATGCGTCCGTTATCCGACCGTCCGATGGTACGGCGGAGCTCCTATTGGCTAAAAAATTTCCCGCCAATTTTTATCCGAATATTTTCAACTTTTTTCTGACGTCGGACAAAGTTAAAATAATAACAAAACGATTTTGGGTCAGGCAGGGATTTGCTTAAACATCAAAAAACTTAAGGTGTTGTCCACGACTTGTTACAAAAAATGAGACTCACGCTGACGGATCAGGAGACGTATCTTACCACCTGGATACCCAGCAATACATTCCAAAATCTGCTAAAAATCATAGCTAAAGTGTGTCTAACCAAGGTTGAACGTTGAAGGTTACCTACTTATCCTTGTAACCATAGGATTCACACGTTCGGACCTATTTTCGTTTGATAAACATAGTGCGCGTGCAATGAAGACAGCAGCAAAAAGCAACGTCTGTGATATATTCGAGTAAGTGACCTTCAACGTTCAACTTTGGTTAGACAAAGTTTAATTGTCAAGATGGGAGCTTTTTCGGATTTTGTCATTTTATACATAAAATATTCTCATATATTATTAACCAATCTCATATGATTTTATACAGGGTCTCCTATTTTCAAAACTCAAGTATCTGGCAACCCTAGGTATTCCACACATCAGATGGCAAGGTAACCTGAGTTCCCTTCCAAAAACGATTCTAGCTGGACTTTCACCTGTTGACTCGTGAACAGCTGCGCTGTAAGCCATTAAAAATAGAGGCAAGTGTTTGTCCCAATCTCGATGGTTCTTTGCGACTAATTTTGTCAGGTGTTCTTCCATAGTCTTATTAAATCTTTCTACCATGGCATCAGACTGTGGAAATAAAGGTCCTTGTCTTACGAATTCCCGTGATCTCACAAATTTTCTTAAAGATGGCAGATTCGAAATTTCGTCCTTGATCTGAATGTAACTCTAGTGGCACACCATGACGACTAAAAAATTCGTCCACTAGCACCTGAGCAATAGTGATGGTTTCTTGATTGGGAATAGCGAAAACTTCTGGCCATTTACTGAAGTAATCTATGATGACCAAGATGTATTTGTTACCACGCTTTGACTCAGGTAACGGTCCGGCTACATCTATCGCTATTCTTTCAAATGGGAGATCGACGTTGTACTGTTTCATGGGCCCCCGAGATCTTAGTTTAGGGCCTTTATTGGTAGCACAAATGTCGCATTTTCGGCACCAGGTTTCAACGTCTTCATGATAATGGACCCAGTAAAAACGTTCTCAAATCTTGTCCAAAGTCTTGTTAACTCCAAAATGTACCCCTGAAGTTCCGTCATGTATTTCTTTTAATACATCTTCTACTCGATCTTTTGGAATAATTAGTTGGCTCTGCGTAGTTTAACCATCGCTTTGTAAATCAAACTCTTGTTCGACAGTTCCCTCCATTCTGGACTACATTCATCATTTTCTTTCAGATGTAGAATTTGCCCGATGTCCTGGTCTGCCTCTTGATCATCCCTCATTCGTTTGGTAGCCCATTTATCATCAACGATAAGACCCGTTTTTCTCACAGCTGGACCAGTGTTTCTCTCATGCATATCGATTCTTTGACAATGCTTGCAATCGTCTTTACATGGCCGTCTAGACAGAGCGTCAGCATTTTTATGCAGGTTTCCAGGTCGATGTTCAATTTGGAAATCGTATTGCTGCAATTTCTCAATCCATCTAGCAAGCTATCCTTCAGGAGTTTTCATTTCTAAAAGCCATTTTAGAGCTGCGTGATCCGTTCGAATCAGAAACTTACGTCCGTAGAAATACTTATGGATATGGTCGACTGCTTTTACTATGGCTAACAACTCTTTTCTGGTGGGACAATAATTTCGTTCTGGCTTTGACATGGTTCTGCTGTAGAACTCTACGACATGCTCTTGTGAATTTTGAATTTGTGAAAGTACCGCTCCAATACTGGTGTTGCTTGCATCTGTGTCCAAAATCAACATGCCCTTCTGATCGGTATAGGATAACACTGGGTTTGTCCATAATGCTCCTATTGCTCCTTTTGATTTTCTAAATGAGGAATCACATCCATGGGTCCAATTGAATATTGATTTTTATTCCTTTATTCGATGAAGCGGAGCAGCTATATTGGCGAATCCTTCCACAAATATTCGATAATAAGAACATAATCCTAGAGAATTCCTTAGTTCATGTTTGTCGCGTGGTTTTGGCCAATCCCTGACATCTATTTTTCCTTTCATAACTTGTATGCCATCTTCAGATACCACATGACCTAAGAATTCCACTTTGGCTTCGTTTATTCCAAAATCAAAGTCCAATCAACACAACAATAATTTATTCCACGTTACTACACACTCTGACACTAATTACTTCACTAATTAACTCGAACAACTTAACTTTTTACAACTTTTACAATAATCACTATCTAAAACGTATCACAGCCAATCTTAAACTAAAAACTACTAACTAATACTGGCCTTTATATATCCGCAATCAATTCTTGTAAAATCCAGAACAAACGGGATAGCCCTTTTTCCCGAATAACACAGTAAAATCTAGAATCAGCTGTCCAATTCAGTACACCCTGGCGCTTCCGCCAGATTTTCGAAACAATATTTTACAATTCTATCAAAAAACACATCTTTATTAGGTTTTTTTCTATGCTTACTTCTTTAGATCCTAGGGATCAATGCTCTACAAAGTGGTACAAGTACTATATTATTTATATATCAGATTATATATCAGATAGTTCAATATGCGTAGCACTGAGATAAAAAGATAGGGATATTTTGAGCATCTGGTATAGCTTTAGCAAAAAAAAGCAGAAATAAATAGACAGAATTAGAAATGTTCTATTTTCAAGAACACCAAGCAAGAATGCAGAATGTTAGCACAAGTTAGTTTCTGGGAGCAGATTAAAATCGCACATAGGAACATTATAATAAAGAAGATAGTGTCTACATGTGACTTTTAAATATTTGGGATTTATGAAGACGATTATCTAATATGCTTCAATTATATAAGATTGTCCTTGTGGCAACCTAGTTCCCTAGAAACTTGCTTTTGGGGTATAATTAGGGAGTTTAGTAAGCTTTCTTATAAACTCGGATATTGTTTCATAGTGATTAGCAAAATCTTATGTCATCTTTGGGACTCTCAATGCTAAAAGGGGGGGGATCCAAAAACGCTGATTAATATTAAAATTTTACCTTTAAAAGGATGATTCATCGGCTCTAGAGAAGTAATATTTAAAGGAATAAATATGGGTCCTCTCAAAGGGTCCGATTTATCTGAATATGGTAATGCTAAGGGATCGTGTGGGATGGGTATCATTTGTAGACCACACGTCTGGCCTTTTCTGTGCCAACTAAATAGCTACAAAAAAAAACTTATTAATATTAGTTATTGCTGACAAAATATTAAAATTGGAGATGTTACAGATATCGTGTATGTTGTACAGTAAGTAAGTAAGTAAGTCTTGAAGAAGCAGTTTGTGTTTGATTTAGTGCAACTTAGGTTCATTTTGTTTTGGTAGCCATTCAAAAAAGCTAAAAATATCTGATGAATGAATATTAGAATATACTATCATCAAATATTCAGCTACCTGGTCAAACATTGTACTGTATATTCGTAAGATAGGGGTACTATTCCCCTATCCTATCTGTAACATCTTCAATTGAAATATTACTTACCAATTCTCCAACAATAGATCCAGAAGATGTCAGCCATTCAGCAACAATTTCATAAGCTTGGTCAGGTCTAAATATGGCTTGATAACGAGCATGACCCCATTCAACTCTATCGCTTTTTCCTATTGCATCAGTTTCTAAACGAGCCTTTTTGTACATCAAGCCTAGAAAAACCATTTTTAGAAAAAGTTTGTTTCAAGGGAAAATAACTAACCATCAAAATCAACTTCTCCGTATTCCGGATCAATATCGTCACATAGAAAATGAGGCACACCAGTTTCTTGTTCAGCTCCTGCTATAGGTATGTTTGAAGTACTTCCTGATGCTGCCTGAGTGAAAGTTGAAAGTCCCCAATTTAAGGCTGGTTTTATTTCAACTTCGATAAAGTCGTTTTGAAACCTTTCTAATTCTCCGCATGGCTTGAAAGTGTCTTTCTCGGGTTTGAGAGGTAAAATATAGAACAAAAAAAATCCATATAAAAAGGGTCTTTTTGGATCACCCGAGGCGTGTCTGATGAGTCTCTCCTTGTGTAAGCTTTGCATTATCTTAAAAATCACAATTTATCACTTAACGATAAAAAGAATCAGCAAATTTAAGCACCTGCATCGCTCGTTGAATAGTTGTTACGCCATCCATATTATTAATAAGCCAACTCACAGCTTCTGCAGCTACGAAAGTGTGACTAGGAAGATTGTGAGGCATATTGAAGAAAGATAATCCTTGTGATGGATGTTTTAGGGCTTCAATAATCTCTGTATTGACACATGAGCTTTTTAGTGGTAACAAAAGGGCAGATAATCTGAAAATTGACAATTCAAATAAAAATAAGAATTTTATTAGAGATGCTACAGATATACTGCATAATTTAATGCAATCAAATACTGGATAAGAACATATTCAGCAGGCAGTTTTTATTAAAAACTAACAAACTTTTCAACACATAAGTGAATGTTATGGGACCTGGAAACAGCGAACCCATCTAATCCAGAAATCATTTGGAAGCTGCAATTATTTCTTGCTCAAGAAAGGATGAAAATTGCCATACTTACTATAGTATTTTCCTGTTCTGTTTGTTAGTTTTGTTTTGACACTAATTGATATCAAAAATGTGAAATTACATTTGAACCTTAATAAAATGAACTCTAGTTAGAATAACTTGCTACACAATCAAGTCATTTGCTGGATATCAGTTGATCCCTAAATTTACTATTTTTAGCATTCTTAATTATTGTTAGTGGAGAATTTACCCCTCATCCGTCATAATGTCCTCATTAAAAGGGTCTTGGGATCCTTGGGAAGCTCTCGAACGTTCAAGAACTTTGGAGCCTGACCTGAAATCAAAAACTGTAAAAATTTGTTTTGGATTTTATTTCTGACTTATATTTGCATAAAAGTTCATTTTAAAGTATGTCTACAGACTTTTACATTATAGTGTAAAGCCCAGCACCGATAATATACCCTAATTTGTTCAAAAACTACTTAAAACTATACTATATATAGGCTTACTAATTAGATTTTAGGCAAACTGTGAGTAAATAATATAGAAGGAAAAGTAGTAAATCGTACCTAAAGGATGAAGCAACAAATCGCTCATTGGAGCGTGCTGTTGTAGAATTCTGAAAGCAAGTATTAGCAAATTAAAAAGAATCACTAACAAAACATTAACATACTAATTAAAAAACCAAAAACCAATATTCAATTAAGACACATACAAACTGAAAAAATGTTGCATTCTTTGCCCAACCTATAATCTATGGTTCCAGGTAATCATCAGATATTCACAAATACAGAAAACTGATGTAAAACTTATTCCAATCCAAGTAAGAGAAATTCAACAACCAACTACACATGCCCCAATCCAAGCTAAAAAGTGTGAAATTTCAAATATAAAATGTCTTGTCAAACCTTGGTCGGGGCCTGTCTGATAATCGGTTGCTACCCACTCGTTCTCTAAATGGTGAGCCTGGGTTGATATTCTGAAAATTAGTTTTGGTAATGAAAGTATTGAATGGATTTGCCTAAGGTACATAATAAGATAATCGTACTGCATGCATATTAGGATTAGTTTCTACATCAATGTTATTTTTATTCTTTCTGCGGGCTAGTAATGATGAGGATGTTTAAAGGTTCTATTATGGTATCAAGTCCATATTACATGGCAAACTGCAGATTGCATCTTCTTTTCCATTTGGTCTTACCATTTGTAAAAACGTGACAAGCACTTGAATAATAGGTTCACTTTACTATTAAATAGGAGAACGGTTAAATGGGGAAAGATTGTTATTGAGGCCAAAGTTATGGGATTATTTGGAAGTTTAAATAAAATTGTTTTACGTTTTTTTTTTTTTAATCTCAATCACAAATGAGTATTTTCAATGACATTTATTTGCCCATAAAACGTTCAATTAACTGTTTTCCTATTTGCCATAGTTTCAGATATCCTGATGCGCAAATATATCCCAATTTGGTGAGGCTCTTAAATTTAAAAAAGCATAGCTCAAAAGCAATTTTGCAAATGTGGGTGAATGTTCTCAAGCAAGCAATATTATAACAATTATTTTTTATGTATATTTATACTGCTAAACAAATAGCGGGTTAATCCTCGGGTTAAGCATTTAAAATTGTGCACAACAAATTTCATTTCTCAAAATATTAATGGACAAAGTAAGGATCTCTCTCCTGTACTGCCATTCTAGATCCATCTTAGACTTATTTTTCGTTTTTGTACCTCTTATAACACAACCCAATACAAAAATCTTTTATCACAAATAAATTCAAAAATTTTAGGATTGCCAAATATCAATTTTTTTCGAACGACATTTGGATATTTGGGTTAGTTTGAGTCAAGCTTCAACAATCTATCTGGATGTGGCACTATTTTTCTGAATGGTATTGAAGATTTTGAAATATGGCAACCCATTTTTAGTGACATTCTGCGTTACAATACAGACATGAAGTATGCAGTGTTAATTATCGCTTAAGCCCAATTCAAAAAGCCCCTCGATCTTAAATCTTCTCCTATTTTTTCGATATTTTAATGTAAAAAAAAACGCCAAATTCAAAATTTCAATTGAAGAAGATTTAGGAATAAAACAATACCTTGACACGATTTTTTTAATTATATCCCACCTAAAATAAAACCCAATTTACCCATTGATAAGATAAATTATACCTGCGAAAAACTGCTTATACTGTTACGTCTGGGTTGGGATAGCGGTGGTAAAGATTGAACGTTCAGTGACATCTATAACATGCAAAAATTGGGTTAAAAATTCGTGCAAAGAATAGAAACTGTGGTGTTTCACAGGAACTTCTTTCTATCAAAAGAGCCAGAAGTTTGAATATATTCCCGTGCAAAAGTAGTAACAAATTATTGCAAGGTTAATGCTACTAATAAATTAACTACAAAGGGAGCAATACGTTATTTTACAAGTTAAAGCACTACTGGGTTTATTGTACAATCAAAAATTAAAAAGGGACTAATTATATAAAAACTCTGTAATGCAGTCTTTTATCAAAAAAATGTAAATTCCTTGTTAATTTTTCTACACTCAATTTTAACTACAAACCCGTGGCTTCTTCGACATTGCAAGTGTTTTTTTAAGTTTATTCACTGCTGCCTCAATGAACTTTAAAAACCCTTCGACCATTTGATTGTGATCCCCACTAGTTGGAGGTGGATAAATATCACACCTAGATGAACCTTCTACGATCCTTTTTGCTTCAGTACCATTTAGAGGTAGGAGATAAACACGGAATCTAGACAAAAGTTAAATTCAATAGAGAAAATCATACAACAAATGGGAGTTTCTAGAGACACATTACTACCCAGAAACTGCATCAAGTAATACAAGAAAATGTAGCCCTCAAAGTTGGCAGAGAGAAATAGTTTATTTCAAATAATTCATTATTTTCAAGAGACTGCATCACAACTTGATTTGATTGAGAAAACAAATTCTTAAAGTTCATCTATTGTAGCATTAGTGGCGCAAAATTTTCTTCAATAAATATTATTTTTTTACTTTTATACAGAGTGTATAACAATTTAATTCAAATGAAGTTAAATCTTATCATTCATCACAATGTCTTTGGTCCATATTCAGCAGCTCTAAAATAATACTAATACATATCAACATTTACTTGGGCAGTGTAAGAGTGTCAATGATGTGTTTCAGACAAGTTTCTACTAAGCCTTGCTTGGTTGGCTTTAGAAAAAAAAAACAATAAGATATTCTGCACCGTTAATTTTATAGTACAGGAACTTTTGAGATTTGTTTTTCCCCAATCCATCGGTTAATAAGTTTTTTAGGTCAGTGGGTAGTAGTACAGTATATTAGTTTCATACATTCTCAAAACTAAAACTGATATTGGCGGCCTGCTGCCAACATTTGAAGGCTAGAATTTCCTAGCTTCCTTTATCTACTTGTCTCTGCTGAGTCCCAACAATATGTTGTGAAATTGAAAGGGCCCACCAGGTACGATATCTACCTCCAATATTTCAGACCATCCAGCAATGCAAAATCAGTAGTATCCCCTCCAGTGCAGACATAATGATCAAGATAGTTCCAATTGTAGTGTTCTAATTTTTCTGTTGTAAACGTAGCATAGGATTCTTCATAGTTATCGTGATACGGAGCATGAAACCTGTATCTATATTGCAACTTAAATCCTGGGTAGGGATGCCTAGAAGAAAAAAATACTAAAGGTGGGGCACATTTTATGTAAATTCTTACCTTGGTCTGTATCTGGTCACCGATATGGTATTTCCAGACAAAGAAATTTTATGAAACAATCTTCCAATAGACAAGAAATAGGTCTCATCATTTTCTGAAGGACTTTTTCTCAAAATATTTGACCTTGACTGTTGGACAGGTAGAAGATTAGAAGCTTCAATCCTATTGGGTGACATTAAAACCAACTGAAACCCTTGGGCTAATCTTTGGGAAACCAGTTCTTTAAAAACTTCATCTGTAGTTAAGGGTTTTTTGAAGGGGCCTCTAGGCTGGGCAAAATCAGCATAAACACTGTCAGGAACCAAACTATATAAGGAAACTACATAGTCTGTATGCAAGGTCCTTTTATCTGGGAAGTAATCTGTGGTTATTGGTAGGCAGGCTGGGATAGTAAGTGATTTCCAATCGACACCTAAAGATTAATATAGTAAAAGTAATTTTTGAATTTTTTTAAAATGTAGCTGAAGCATTATTTACAATAGAAGTACCAATTATTATGTGTGTGTTCTACTTCATAAAGAACTACATACAAATAAGTTAATTTGTTGAAGCACTCAAATTGGATGAAAGCAGAAAAATTAAGTACATAATTGTTGCCAATACCTCAGCAAGCGTTTTGAAAAAGCTACAAAAGCGCATAGTACCTAAACCAAAATTCCTTACCAAAAAAAAATTATATTATATTTACAATAGGTAAATTTATTGTATTACATTGAGCACTTAAAGAATTTATATCATGCACAAGGAAATTGTAAGCTGGAACTTGTTTTTTAATAGGATTCCTGAAACTAGGGAAAACAAGGGTTTTATTGGAGCTGACGGAATTTTGATGCCTAGTATCATATTTCATAGAGCAATAATTATACATTGAAGCTTACCAAAAAGTTATACATATACAACAAAATCTACCATTACCGCCCGAAACAAATATCGCTATCCTATACTGAAGCATATGTAGAGGCAGCTACTACTCGATAGTATTAAAAAAAGGTGTTAAAAAATAAAAAGGTCCAAACCTATGAGCACGTCATTGACTGCACATCCATGGCAAGGGGATCACCGACAATTCCATGGAACAGAATAATAATTCAAGTAGATATCTTGACAAGAATAGACATGACATGTGTATAGACTGTCCCAGAAAAAGCAATTTACCCAAGAGAACCTGTTTTATTTTTAGGGGCGGTTTCTCAATAGCAAGTCACTCCCGGGTTAAGCATAACTCCAGGGTAATCATTGCAACTGGACACGTTTATCCCGGAATTGAAACCAACCCGAAGGTGACTCGCTATTGTGAAACCAACCCTTAGTTCAAATCACGAGCAAATCGACGAGTCAATTGATTCTTATCAGCCGGAACAAATTTCTTCATGAAAAAAGGAGTTGAGTGATATGTTCTTGAGCTATTTTCACTCTGAAACAGAATACCGATTTATAGGTGAAATACAGAAAACATCCAAAAAAGTTACTGGATACAAATTGTTTTTCCTGGGCACTCTTTATTTGTATGTTAGGATAATCTTAGAACAATAGTAGTTAATTTTATGTATTAAATGATTTAAGGAAATAGTCAAGGAATATTGAGATTTCATAAAGGGTCTGTAACGATTACGAAAGATGTCTATCTGATATAGCCTCACCAAATCCATTTAGTCCATCATATTGAAAAAAGCTAACACGTATTGACATAGGATAATTGGCGTTATATTCAGTAGGTGATGTTCAGATAAAATAAACATTTAAATAAATCGTTCTTCCATTACAATTATTGCGCTCAAGTTTACTGTATCCCTCTTTTGTTTCTCGATATTTTGTCCGGCGCCCGTTCGTTACAGACCTATTATGAGAGATGAAATTGAGACAAAATGTGACTTTTGAATCGAGTCACATTTGGCCTCCATGTGGTGGAGGGAAAGGAAAAACCTCATAAAAACTATCTGAAATAATACAAAAAAATTAAAATAATTTTATATAAAATAAACATCAATAAAATTATTATAAAAAAAAACAGAAGTTGACAGCTATAGCAGTAAAACTAATCAAATGTGTATTTGAAAAAAATTAAAATACATTTAAAATTTACTCTTAAGAGTGTTTATGCATCAAATCGATCTACTTCAGACTAAAAAGAAACTGTATTTCTTTCCAGAGAATCGACCAAAAACGTATCAAATTCCAAGGGCATAAACGCTCTTAGAACACTTTGGGTAGATAGCTTCTCAAGTAATGAAAAATACCTTAAAAAAATAGACAACACAAGGACCCCCCTACGAATTTAAACCACAAAAAAATAATAACAAAAATGTACATACCTGTAGTCAATGCAGGAGTCCATTCTTGTTCTCCTGTAGCACCCCACAGAAGCGTTAAGCTTTTCGCAGACTGCTTGGAAGTTCTTAGACTGGGATTTTGACTTGGACGCTTCTTAAAATCTAGATAATAATTTTTGAAATTAGAAAGTCATTCTCAAATTGGGGTTTTTAGGATGTTCAAAGATGAAAGCAACATAATTTGTAAATTGTTATTAGGGTACCTAACTATTCTTTTCTAAGCCGCAATCTTAGCATAAAGTTTAAAATTGGATGTTAGCTCAAAGTAAATATGTAAGTAGATTTGAATCAATCCATTGTGTTGCGTTCATCATCAAGTTAGCTAAAATCAGATGAAGCTGTGCATTCTTTTATAATTATATGAATAAATAAGATTCAATCTTGAAGTACAAAAGTCCACTTACATTCTTGTAAAGCAGCAGTCACTACAATAGGTTTATTCTGTTCTGAATCATTTTGTTCTTTTATTAGATTTTGCTCATTTGATTTTTCAGATTGGGCTGGAATTGCTTGATAGTGATGTTGTTGAATCAAAACACCTTTAGGACCTTTTGGGAAAATATGCGTCCAACGTCTTCGGTTTGAAGTTAATTTGATTGTTACATGGGACGGATCAAACGGATTAATTAAAGCTTTGGATTCGTGTGGGGGTGAACCTTCAGAGCCTACTACCATTCGGACAGGAGGTGAGAATTCTTTTTCTAAATAAAAATTAGTGTATTATCAAAATATTCATAAAAGCCAATGATTGGTTACCTTCTGTGAGGGGTGAAACCAATGTATTAGTAGAAGTTGTAGAAGGGATAGCTATAGGTTCCGAACGAAAACCATCAGATTTTTGATGAAAAAAAATATCCGGATCAGACAATTTTCTTCCTATGCTTTTACTGATTTCATAGGTGTCTAAAAGACTTCCGGAACTTCGTTTATATCGCGGAGGTGGCTTTAAATGCATAGACCTAAACATTTATTTTAGAATCTAAGCATGTAGTATAATTGCAGCCAGCTTAATTTACTCACGAGGATTCCTGAAAATGGTGCGCTGTTGGCAATTGAAATACGGCCGCATCATAAGCGTCATAATCAAAGAACGCGTAATTTTGCACACAATCGTCTTCACTGCGTAGATCTTTTTTGGCGCATTCCTTTTCTTCAGCTGCATTGATTTCTTCCTCAGTCAAGGGAGCAGGTAGCTTAATCCTAGGCAAAAACGTGGAATATGGTATTCTTTTATTCGTTGAATAGAACGATAAATTTATCCAGTGAGGCATTGAAAAATCGTCCGGGACGTTTAGGTGAGTGTCCTTGTTGTGAAACTAAAAAAAAAAATATGTTTTATTCAAATACATATTTGAATTACGGTAGTTAACGTGACATTTGCTGGCTTCTGGTATTGAATTGCGCCTTTTAATATCCGTCTAACTCCTACTATATATAAACAGTTTATCAAAGGAACGGGTCATTAGGGCACAAGAAGAATCACTTCTTGGCCTACTGAAATAAACAACTATTTTCAATACCCACAATAACAGTAACCATAGGTGTATTTCGAAGACCAAACAAAATGCATTTTCTATAGGTACCTTCATTGTTTTACCGTTACATACGTTTTTGATGGCCAATTTGACTCAGCAGACCTCTATACATATTATCCTTGTCCAAACTTCATAAGCTAAACTAGACCTAGGTCCAGGCGAAAATTACCCCTAACTCATGAGATGACTTTGGCCATTCATATATATATTTTTCCAAAAGTTGTCCATAAGATTATTCAATATTTTATTGTTCTAATCTACACAAAAAGACTTTATGTGGACTAAATTATCATCGGGATGTCTATAGAACTATTTGTTGCCAATGTCACCCTAGTTTATGGTACTTAGTTAAGATACATTTTAAATTACCTTCAATAATGGCACTGCATGTAGAGGTTGCTCGCCCACACATACTAAGTCACTTCCCACTCCACCATCAATAATCCGCTGTTTCGTAATATTTGTAAGTTCTCTATCTACTTCGAACACCCCCACTCCAGGGGTTACCACCACGCTAAGTTGTCCTGTCCTATCGAAACTTCGGTCAAGGTAGTGCTTCTCAAATACTAAAAAAAAATATATATACAGTGTCATTACTTAAGTGTGCAACATATGGGATTTTTTTTTAGTAATATCACAATCAAAATACAAACAAGGCCAAAAGTTGGTGCATGTCTAATAATCATATTAGGTGCACTTAGAATGGTTGCAAGTCAAACAGCATACAGGGTAGCTCAAAAAATATCAAAATTGTAGTAATATTTACTTGAATAAAATAAAACTTTTGCACTTTATAAAGAGAGTTTTTTTTTATTATGGCTATTATCATTAGTAATGTTTCAACTTGTTAAAAAAAAAAATTGCGACATTTTAAAGTTGTGTTGAATATCATTGCAACAAACATGAATTTTGTGATTCCATAAAAAATTAAAAATCTAAGTTAAAATTAAAAATCTAAGTTAATTTTACAAATATGCTTGAATTTGAAAAAAATTATGTAAAATTGATTTGATTTTATTTAATTTTTGAAAGTATTAAGGGCGGAAATAAAAAATAAAAAAAATATAGAACTTATAGATTTTTTTCGGAAAAAAATTAAAAAAATCTTTGGAGGTTATGCTTTGGTACTTAGGCATAACTTTCAATTCCAAACAACTTTTCTCTATAACTTTTTGCTGAATTTCCTAAAATAAGGGTACTTTTACAGTACAGCTTTGATATTGTTTGAGCTACCCTGTATGCTGTTTGACTTGCAACCATTCTAAGTGCACCTAATATGATTATTAGACATGCACCAACTTTTGGCATTGTTTGTATTTGGGTTGTGCTATTACTAAAAAAAATCCCCATATGTTGCACACTTAAAAAATCACACTGTATATATTTATTGTTTTCTATTATGTATGATTATTATTAGTCTGACAGTAGGCGGAAAGTCCGATAAAAACTGCCACTTTATAATCATAACAATCAAACTAAATAATGTACAAATTCGCGATTCACATATGTAAGGTCTCTATCCAGTCTGTTTTTGAAAGTGTTCAAGGGTGGGGCATCCACAGTATCTTGTTCCATACATATACTACCCGGTTGGTCTTTAGAATCGTTCGGAGTGATTTGAGACTCGATGAAACGAAAAAGCGACTCGAAACAAAAAAGCGACACTTTTTTAACACGCTTATATTAACACACAACACACAACAAGAACCTGGAACAAGCCCAGTGAGCTGGAACAAGTCTGGATAAATCTGGATGAAGTCTGGAAAAGTCTGGAAAGAGCCTGGAAATTTCTGGAAAAGGTCGGAAAAATTCTGCCAAAGGTCCCAAAAGACCTGGGGATCATTTTCCAGAATCCGGATCAGTCTGTACAAGTCTGGATAAGGTCCGGATAAATCTGGATAAAGTCTGTAAAACTCTGGATATTGTCTGGAAATCTCTGGAAACGTCTGGAAATTTCTGGAAAGGGTCGGAAAAATTCTGCTGAAGGTCCCAAAAGACCTAGGGATCATTTTCCAGAATCCGGATCAGTCTGTACAAGTCTGGATAAGGTCTGGATAAATCTGGATAAAGTCTGTAAAACTCTTGATAAGTCTGGATATTGTCTGGAAAAGTCTGGAAATCTCTGGAAACGTCTGGAAAAGACTTGGAAATTTCTGGAAAGGGTTGGAAAAATTCTGAAAAAGGTCCCAAAAGACCTGGGGATCATTTTGAAGAATCCGGATCAGTCTGAACAAGTCTGGATAAAGTCTGGATTAATCTGGATGAAGTCTGAAAAACTCTGGAAAGCTCTGGATAATCTATGGAAATCTCTGGAAACGTCTGGAAAAGGCCTGGAAATTTCTTGAAAGGGTCGGAAAAATTCTGGAAAAGGTCCCAAAAGATCTGGAGATCATTTTCCAGAATCCGGATCAGTCTGTACAAGTCTGGATAAATCTGGATGAAATTTGGAAAACTCTGGAAAGCTCTGAATAAGTCTGGATAATGTCTGGAAAAGTCTGGAAATCTCTGGGGCTGACACGCTTTTATAATACATCGAACTAAAAAGTGAAAAATAAATATAGTTTAAAAAAAACTAAAAAACGCGCTTTTATAGTAAATTGAACTAAAAAGTGAAAAATAATTTTTAATATAAACAGAAAATATTAATGAACAAAAAATATAAGAATTATTGTGAAAAAAGCGTGGGGTGCTTTGTTCCACATTTCTCGTACATTGAGCACCCCAGTTTTTTTAAACTATATTTATTTGCGTTCTTTTGGAGGGGGGGAAACCACTGTGTATGTTAGTATAGTGAAATTATTTAAACAGTGTATGCACGTGATCAATGACGTCGAAATTATTGCCAATTGCAGTTTGTAAGAAATTAAAATTCGTTTCAAGCTGAGAGCTCATTCTCCTTTTTATTTAACCTTAGTTAAAAAAAGACAGAACACTGTTGGCATTTAACCGAATCGGCCGATAAAATGACATTTAGATTGACACTCATGGGTTATGTTGCTAAATATTGCTGCAAATCTGCGGTTACTGATTTTAATAATTTGAAATTATTTCTATTTGTGTATCTATAAAATGCCAAAGCCATTGAATAGTCAGAGTCAGAAACTCGTTGTGTCTCTAATTAGTTTCTTTGAACAGGAACGAGATAATGGGGGGCCCTTTTTGCCATTAAATAGCGTTAGAGAGGTGAAGTATATTGATACTATCAAATATAAATTTTCTGGGGCTTTAATTGGGAATATTTTTCTAGCTTGTTGCAGCTGCACTGAATATTGGTACCTATAACCACTGTGAGTAAAATCCAATGTAAAATCTCTCAAAAAGTTAGGGATACTTTAGCGTTAAATTCACCAAAGAAAAAAACGTCCACATTAGAAGCGTGTTACGAATCAAGATCACTTTGATGTTAGCTCTATTCGCAATCAAATTTACGACGAAAAGTGAGTAGTTTTTTTAGATTGTGTTCATAATACACTATCTATACATATAAAAATCGATGTTTGTTTGCTTTAGTGATAACAAATTTTACTAGACATGGTATGTCAAAGTAAAACGAAAGTTAATAGCGGCAACATTGCGACGTGCTTATGTCAGTAATTTTGATCACGTGCATACACTGTTTAATTAATTCCACTATATGTGTGTAATGCATGCAGTTCGATGAAGGTTTCACTTCTACTGCGTGCGAACTGCAAACTTTTTTTTTTTTGGAGTGTCTTCTAAGCATCGTTGTTACGAAGATATCCAGTTGGACGCTATAGTATCCAGATATGATTTTGTGGGTCTGTATTAAGTCGCCTCATTGCCGGCGTTCTCTTAGAGTGGGTATCTTTAACCTGGAGCATTGAGTTTCATACGGAAGTTCCTTCTGTTCAGTTGGTATTCGTGTTACACGGCGCTGTATGCGCTCTAACAGTTCAATGTCCTTTACATAGTATCGGTTCCACGAACTCGCAGCAAACTCAAGAATCGGTCTTACATAATATGCTTTTTCTACTGACATTTCATAATACGCTATTAAACGATTAAAATCTGTATTATAATGAACTTCATTACGATACAGATTTTCATTATAATACTCATTTTTAATATTATACAATGTTGATAGATGGCAGCACTAGTTAAGATATTAAACATTTTTAACGGTAATTTTGCGTAAAACAATTATTTTGATAACTATAAAAAATACTTCGAATTGTTTAAGAGTTACCTAAAGTTTGGGACAAAGAATAATTATTATGGAAATAATGAGTGATAAGGAAGAATTTTTACTTTTGTCATTATTATACATTGTCAATAGATGGCGCCACCAGTTAAGAATTTTTTTTAATTTTTTTTGAATGATGACAGCACTCTGTTTATGGCTTTTCCATGGTAATTTAGCGAAAAACAATAATTTCATGAAAAAAATACTTCGAATTGTTATTAAAGTTACCTAATGTTTGGGATAAGGCATTATTATGGAAATATTGAGTGATAACGAAGAATTTTCACTAACACCTCCAGAAATTACAGAAAGGGCGACAAATGCAGGTAATAATATACAACCGGACAAGTCCAGGAAAATTTGCGAAAAATTATATGGACAATTTATGGATTGGAAACACCAAAAACACATCGTCCTTTTCAGAAAATGTTTTGATAGTATATTTTGAAGAATTACAACAAAAAATGAAACCTTCAACTGTATGGATTACTCAATTATAACATCTCTATTCAAAGTTAAGCGTAATGTTGACATATCTAAATATCATCATATCAAGTTTTATCAATGGCAGTAGAAAAAATAGTGTATGCAACTCTCATGTAATGGCCATTAATACACTCGCATGTTATATACGAAACTCGCCTGCGGCTCGTTTCGTATCCTACAACATGCTCGTGTATTAATGGCTATCATTACATGATCATTGCATAATATACTATTATATATTTTCATAATTGTTGAATTTTATATACATTTTGTTAAAAAAAATTTATGAAATCTTACCATTCAAAGACATATTTAAAACTTCTAAGAAATTCCCTTGTGCAGCAGTACTATTTCTAGCCACGGGGATCGTTAAATTTGATCTAGCATGGTACTTTAAGACGACATCCAAATAGTCATGAAAAATTTTACGTAGTTGAAACAAAATAGTACTCCAGTCGTCATACTTTTCATTCTGAATGGGAACTCTACAAAAAATCAGATAATTGATAAACATCAAAAACTACTAAAAAATGTTCAATGAGAAGCTTTTTATTGGCTTCTTTGTGATTTTCAAAGGAACAAATCAATAAAAATATACCTGTAAAAATCCTCATAGTACCTCCCTTTGTAATCCTTCTGTAAACATTCTTTCATATGGTGTGGAAACTCATCCAAACTAGTTGCTTCATAGAAAGTTCTTGAAAACAAAACTATTGTAACCTCATGATTGCTTCCATGTTTTTTCCATTTGGCAAATAAATCAGATAAAAATCCATTAACGGCTTTTTCAAAATATAAATCACCATAAATATCGCAGTCCCACATTTCTGAGCTCATTTGCAGGAAAATATAGACCATAGCAGTAGAGGAACGAAAGACTATTTTGGTTTCATCTGTGATTACTCCGCAAGCGACTTTTTCTCCTTGGGACCACATTTCGTAGACTTGAGATCGAACAGAGCCGCCACAAAATTCTAATTTTTTGTGTATATAAATACAAGTATTGACCTAAAATATTGGTTTTATATTGAATAAAATAAGGTACATCTTAAAAAACATACCAAATAGTTTTTTAATCTCCACATTTCTGACCGTCCCATGTATTGATCCTTAAAAGTTAGCTCAACCGAATCCAAACCAACTTCACTAGGATTGACTAATCGAGCAGCTACATTTTTATAAGGTTTTAATCCAAATGTGGAAGCTACGCTCTGTTCAACGCTAATTGTGCGTGCCTGGACTGGGACTAAGTCATCAGAAAACGAAGTGATTTGTAAAAGAAGACGAGGATTTTGTTCTTGTTCATTTTCTCCTGAGAGAGAATGATGGATTTCGATGATGTCATTTATACTGGCTTCTGGGTAGTCCTTTTGGCTTATAACTATATCTTCTTCTAAAAATTTAAATTTTTTGAATTAGTAGTATCAGGAGTGCAATTTTTTTTAAATAGAAATTGCCTACTTACCGCTGAATGTTTTCTGGTGGACAGTTAATCTGAATGATTTCATATCTGATTTTTGAAGCTCTGACGTTAAATCTAAACAACCCTTCTATGTTGTGTCATTTTTTTTTTTCGAATCGTTCTGCTGGTTCACCTGCAAATCAAAACTAGACAATTGTTTAAACCAATAATATTTTAGAACGCAGTCAGTACTGAATAAATCAGTCCTAGCATGAGTTTATGAAAAGTAGGTGCCTGAGAGTAATTTAAATGCAATAATATATGAGTTACCTGGTGATAGTTGCATTTAATAGAATCTCTGAATCTTCCTTTGATTACATTAATATAAATACTGATGGGGGCTTCAAGGTTAGAAACTGGCTGATTGGTAGAATGATTGCTGAATCAATCCAGATTTAAGGATTAGCTTTGTCCATAATGATTATTGTATCTTTTGACTTGCTACTACTACTACTACCTATAATGTTTCAAGTAAGATTTATGTTATCTATTTCAAGTTTGAAAAAGCCTTCGACCGAGTCTCTTATTAGTATTCAAAAAATTGGAGCAGTTTGTATTTCATATTAACCAAGTTCTTTACGATCACGGGTGGCATGAAAAAGTCCTGCAGACAGAAAATAGTGCTTTACTATACGATTCTTGAGAACTTCCCAGAGAAATATCATGATCCCTATAGAATCGAAACGCAGCTCAAGAAATACTTTTTAAAATCATGCCTAGAAATCTATAAAATCAAAAACAGTTGTACATATCTCTAATAACATAGTCAAAATAGTCAAACCTAATTCTAAAAATATTTTTACCTAGACCTTTTCAACAATCACCACCAAAATTCACCTAAGTATAACTATACTCCTGGACAAAATTATCGCATCACCACTGTACATAAACACCATAAGCAGTGGTGCGATAATTTTGTCCAGGAGTATATAAATTGTCATAATTTTTGTAACTGCAAACTTAATTTTGAATCTCTTATTCCGTATTGTTCCACGCCTTTTTGGGCTACAATGCAATACAAAATAATTTATATCAGGATAACAGTAGCATTTTCAGTGCCCTTGTAGATCTCGTGAACTGTCTGTCAATCAACTTCCATAAGGAGAATGTAGTCGAGGCTGTTTTACTGATTTGTGCAAGGCATCATTTCATTCATTTATTTTTAAACAAGTTATAACTTATAGGCCTCATATGTGTAATATCAAGACTTCTTGAGAAATAGTTGCAGGATCAAAAGCAGTACACAGAGATGGACAATCAAATAAGTCCAATCATGACAAGCAGCTGTCGAGTTCCCCAAGAAACTGTCCTGGGGTCGCTCCTCTCGGTACTACATATTTGTTTGTGATGAGTTTAAGGCTTGTGGGTTTGAGGGGACAGTATTACACCTTGCATTATCCGCATAAACCAGACAATACTTTCTTGGTTTCTGCAGAATAGGAAACAAGGGGAGGTGGTCGATTTGGCAAACAATAATCAGTTAAAACTAAGTATAGATTAAACTGAGTATATGATATTTAGGCAGAAAAACAAACTTGTTATTTAGGTCGTCCTTGTTGATGGAAATCTCAAGTGGGTAGAACGAACCAAACACATAAAAAAATTAATTAGTTTTCTTTATGGGTTCTATTTATGGTTGAGATAATTTTTTGAGTAATAGCTAAATATAAAATGTATTATGCATAAGGTATTTTCTATCGGTCATGAGATATCTTATTACAGTGTGGGTGTGGGGTACTTCCAGTAAATCATATTTGGAAAAACCTAAAATTCTGCCAAATGGAATATTCAAAACACTGCATAATTTTGATTTATTTATTTATTTATTAGGTAACACACACATATTGAAGATTTATGAATATAAGATGTTTAAAGTGCAACCACATAGTAAAAATTGATACATAAAATCATAAACAACAACAGCACACGTATAATAATTCATTCTAACTTAAGAAATTGTAATGACATCCGTTTGGTTAATGTTAGAGCAAACATAGATCTATTGAAAAACGAAAAGTCGCATAATAGGTTTATAAAACATGTCAAGATATATTTTAAGTGAACCGGTTTCAATCAAGGAATGACCTTTTACATTATTATATTTTTATCACAGTCAATATGATTCAATGACTACTTACTGAAGTTTAACAAAAACCTTGCCTTGTTAGTTATGTATAGTTGTTAAGCCTCTGATCACAGTACTTGAAGTACTGTTTAGGAAATCAGTGTAATTTATATTATAAACATAAAAAAAGAGCTTGCCTGATTTGTTGAAAAAAAAAAAAGAATTGTGGCCTGCCCTCAGGCTAACAGTTTGAGGTTTGTTCAGGAGCAATTTATCAGAAAAATTTTAAAATATACTGGATAGCCTGAAATCCACAATAGTGTTTGTTTAGCATTTATTATTTAACAAATTAAGATAGGTACGTCAACCCAACCTCAACCCAACACCAACATGGAGTTTTTATTTTAGAACATATAAAACATACCTGTGCAGATACACCAAGAAAAATTAGCAATTGTCTTCCACCTAACAAACAACGAGGAACTATTCAGAAGAATGTGTTTTTATCAAAACAAAAAAAAAAAAATTTTTTGTCAACAAAAACATTGAAATTTAAATGTCTAATTGTCTCAGTGTTGCCAGATGTCAAATTTAAAATTATCAGGATTCGAGACAAAATAATCAAAAAATCTCTTAATTAAAAATAGGTACATGGTACATATTAAATAATAATCGGATTTAATTTGTCTTCTTCACAAGCTTCTGTTTCGTCACCTACAGTTTTTGAGTTATCCTCATTTTTGTAATTTTTATATAACATTCTAGAGTTTCGAGCATACGAAATCATTTTTTCATTTGATAAAACTTAACACAACTCTGGGACTCTTTGACACATTGAGAACTGAGCAATAGTCCATTCACTGTGTTAGTAATTAATTTATTTCTGGTCTTGGTTTTAGTTAAATTTTTAAATGACTGTCTGCAATAACTACTTTTTCTGATTGAAAATATGCATTTACTGAAACGATTTGGCTCAAGACCCATTCTAAAAATGCATAATACATCTTGACTTGTGGATCTTGCAAACTGTTAAAAATTGTTTCTGCTGCTAGCAATTGAGCATCGAATTTCTTAGATGTGAAAAATAGAGTAAGGGCACGCCATTGTTCCTACTTCCAACAAGGAGAGCCACATTGTTTGAGCTCGTCTTAAAAGAACATGTGGATCCAGCTCGCAAAATATTTGAAATTCTCTCAACTCACTTCGCCTTTTGTCACTACACTTAAAAAAATTATAAATATCTTGTGCCAAGTCTTCACATCTACAAGGAAGTTCCTTACATGCCGTGCTAGCGACTAAATGCAAAGAATGACAAACACATTTTTGTATAGTTGCACCAGGAATGTCTTCACGCTGCCACACAAGTGTGTTTTCCCATCATAGTTTTACATCTAAAATAAATAAATTTAAAAATATAAAATTGCAAAATAAATAAGATTCATACCCGTCTGAACCAAACCCTATTACATTAGACAAAGGTACATCAAATTCCAAGAAAGATTGCTTTACACTTTCATATAAATGTTCCCCTGTTGCTCTATATGAGCTAGTTTCACTAGATGGATCTGTAGCTTGCTGATGTTGGTCACATGAAAGTTGACGAAGACTCCAGAGTTTTGAAACAATTTTTTCTTCGCTTTGGCTAAAAAAACGAACCAAACACATATTGTTTTTTTACTGGAAATATCCGCTGCTTCATCCATCAGTAAACTAAACTTTGTGATCCTCAATATGTCTGCCAACCTCTTCTTTATGTACTTGTCCAATAACATTCGAAGTCATACAAGATGCTTTGATTCGTTTTAAATCAATTTTCTGGGCTATTTTTGAGTCTGGGAAAATATTTTTCAATAAATCTGTCAAGTGGTTGGTGCTTAGGAATGATATGTTATGTTCTGCCAAAAATCCAGTAATTTTAATTTCTGCTGCTGTAACTTGCTTTTCCAACAAAATAGCTTTCGAGGTAACGTCGCTAAATTGGTCAATCCTTGGCTGATGTTTAATAGTTTTTGATTTCTGCAAGTGTTTCTTGCTTTTTGCATGATTTTTAATGACAGTTATATGAGTTATATCGGCTCTTATTTCTTCATTGCAAATACTACATTTTGTTTTAATATCGGAAGATCCCCTGCTTACCCATGGAAATTTTTCCGCCCATTCCCCTCTAAATGATTGTTTATATTTTAGTTGTTTTCTTATTTTTCTTTTTTTTGAAAGTGTTTGAGGAGGCTCTCCACTAGTGGACGGCTCAGCCTCAGAATCGCTCGAAGAATCCGACATTGCGGTTATAGGTTCCTGAAATAATTAAATAATATTCAACTATAGTGGGAGCATCTATTAATCAATTTTCACCTACCTGATTAAGTTCTATAAATCGGTAATCACTTGAATTTTGAAGCTAGTAGCCGGTAATCCACAAACAAGAAACCCAAAAGTCACGAGATCCCAAAGTCACAGGTCACAAAAAAACAGGTAGTGTAAAGTGTGATGCACGCCACATCAAGTAGGGGAACCCCAGACTATGCGTGAATGACAGTTGAGACTGCATAGGTCCTATGGGCACAAAGGGTACGTTTTCATGCATCCGTCATCCGATGGCACGATAAATGGCACCATGATACGAAATTGTTCCGATTGGTTGAATTTACGGCTTTTCATTGGTCAGAAAATTCAAACATTTTTGTATGTTTGGCAATTTTCATGCATCCGACATCCGATGAAGGAATCGTTTACGATTGGCAGTGTTGCCAACGGGAAGTTATCAAAATGCTCAATGCTCCTCATTTGTAGTGAAAACGCTCACTGTATTCCTTTCACACCTAGGAGGAGCTCCGGAGCAGCTCCCGGGCTTCACGCGCTTATTCCTTTCGAAAAGTGTTTGTTGCACCACGCATCTGTTCCCAAATCGGGGGCGACAAATAGTTGTATTCCTTTCAAGAGTTTGAAACACTCGAGCTACCCGCTCCGGTGTTTAGTCGCCCCCGATTTGCAGGGAACAGATGCGTGGTGCAACAAACACTTTTCGAAAGGAATAAGCGCGTGAAGCCCCGGAGCTGTTCCGGAGCTTCTCCTAGGTGTGAAAGGAATACAACTATTACTATGCTCACAAGACTAAAAATAACGTCAATGTCAAAATGTCAATAGTTTTCAGTTTTCCAGTATTAAGTATGACATTTGACTACGGGATCACCAAGCTGATGTACATTTTCTTTTTTCAATCGTGTTCATTAGAAAAAGAGAAATAACAAACAGCTGGTGATCGGCTGTTGCAATGCAAGGAGAATATACAATACACACTCTAATGCCTCATTCTGACTTGCGCGAAATTCGCTCTTTTTTGACATTCCCTGCATTTTTATTTTCATCAAATTTTAGCGATGGATCCACCATCCTATGTCGGTCATTGTCAGGGATGTGCGTCTACACCTACTTTCATTGTCTACTTTACGTGTAGACAATGTAGACAACGTGTCAACAATGTAGAATAATATAAATGACGTTTAATTCTAACCTCACACTTTCCTTTTTTTAAATTATTTTTATTTTATTATTGGTTTTTCTGATATTTTATAATCAGTGAATGCTGATATCGAAGTGATCGTGACAGTATAGTAACTTTTGATATTTTTTTTCGAATTTTTTAAAATAAGTTATTGTTTACGCCGCATGTAGACAATGTGTAGACAAATGCTCACGTAAACAATTCGAATTGTCTACGCGTAGACAATCAATTGTTTACGTTGACATTGTCTACAGGCACATCACTGGTCATTGTAATTTTCATTCACTAAACGAAGATAGCTAATTCATCGGTGAAGTCACCGATTAAAATAAAAACGAGGGGCGGATATCTTCGACAATTTGACGTTTCATGCGTGTATCAAACGTCAATTTGTCGATGCAATGTCAAAAAAGAGCGAATTTCGCGCAAGTGAGAATGGGGCATAAGGAGTGCTTATCAGCCTCGTTTTTGGTAATCGCCGCCATATTGGTATGATACCATTTCCGACGTCATAACTAAGTCGTCAGCTGTTTAAACAGCCTACGTCAAGGCAAGAAATGCAAATGACATTCTGTCTACGTCACAACGGGTATTTGGGCGCGGTGGGGGGGGACTTGTTACATAACAGGCCTTATGAGAATAGGCCATCCTGTATTGGCAGTGAGTGTGTATCATCCTTGGATGGAATCAGCGTTTCTAAAATGGCCTCTTGACACGTGACGTGAAATACATAATTCTTTTCTAAAAAGTTGGGCGCTTGGTCTTTGCTATGCCACGAGCTATGACATGGCTCTCGTGAACTCGTGCTGGGATGAATTTAATTTTTTCGGTTAATAAATACCAAAAATGCCCACAAAATGCTCACATCTTGCCAATGCCCCCATTTTTACCCCCAGATCTATAAAATGCTCACACATTGGTAACACTGACGATTGGTCAAAAATTGTCTTCCAAAAATTGTCTATTAAAGACAAAAAGACATTCAAAAACTGTGGAAATACTAAATCAAATTATGATTTATGAACACGCATGGAAAAGTGAGGTTAGAATTATACGTCAAAAATGTCAAATCATACGATATCGTATGAAAAGTTAATTATTTTAACTTCATCCGACGTCAGAGAAAAGTTAAAAATATCCGGATAAAAAATGGCGGGAAACGGTTTAACCAATAGTATCGTATCATCGTGCCATCGGATGACGGATGCATGAAAACGTACCCTTACGTACATAACATGTAGCAGGCTACGTCAGTGCTGCCACTTCTGAGGGAATGAAGTCGGTAGATTCCTGGAAAAATAATCGGTAGTTTTCGTTTAAAAATCGGTAGCTAGGCGGTTGCGTCATATGACGTCATTCCGCCACAATTTGCTTAGGTATATAAAACCAGTCAATAAATTTAGTCATAATTTTATTATGCAATGTGATTCCTATTTCAATTTTTCGCGAGCATAATCAAACACTGATTATGCTCAGAGGTTATGTGGCAGTTGTGTCATAGTGTCATACTCCCCTAACTCCCTCACCATCCAATTCCTGGCCTACGAGTGACGTCACTACCAGCAGTTAATAGTGATGACGTCACCTGCAGACCGCGATGGAATGCAGATTCAGGCTGTGCTAGTTAGTGAGTTAATTTTTTCGTCGATTTTAAATGTAGAAAAGGTGATTTTCGGTTTGTTCTCACAGAAGAAGTTAAGTGTTCTTGATCCTCGAGTATCCCAGAATTTGATAGTGGGGGAGTTAAGGGAGTACATTGAGGGGGAGTATGACACAATTGACACACAACATTTGAGCAAGATCAAGTATGCTTGGTTATCCTTGCGAAAAATTGCCTTAATTTGTAGCGACATTCAATTTCAATAGCGTTTTCATAAGTGATCATCAGTGACGTGACATACGAGACACGATGTCAGATGTCATTAGTTTTTAGATTTTCTTGGGGAATGAGAAACAATTTTATTTTTTATTTTAAATAAAATATATATCTACATATTTGTTACATTACCGACATATTGCAAAAAAATCGTGAGAAAATGGTTTAAAATCGGGAGATCGGTAGACTCATTTGAAAATCGGTAGAGGTGGCAGCGCTGGGCTGCGTTCAAGAACCCGGCTCTAGGTATTAAAATAATTTTATTGAGTTAGGGTCCGGTCCGACACACTCCGGTAGTATGCTCATCTTGCACTAGGTTTTCTTACGGTGCTGGGCTGGAGCGTGCTGCGTGCAACAGAGTGCAACTCTTTTTCTAGCTAGTGTGCGTCCCAGTCCGGTAAGTCACTGTAGTCCGGTAGGCCACCACCAATACTCAAAACCACCAACCACCTTAAAAAATTTTAATCGGTTATTAATTTTCAACTAAAGATTTGAAAAACCTGTAATAAAATTGTTGTTTTAATAAATTATGGTAGATTGGCTTGCTATTATCGATTATTGAATCGATGTCAAAATAATGGTAAATTTCGATAATTATCGGGTCATTGCGGTAACACTGTGTCTAGTCGACCGCTGGCAATACTTCATGAGCCTCCGTGGCGGTAAAATGAGAAAATTCAAATATTATTATTGAACCGCTGCTGTGGACTTTTTTCCTGTTCCACTTCCACATTTTTTAAAAACAAAATTATTGTGTTAGTCATTCTAATAACAGCTCTATACTTTTTTTCAAAAAAAAAACGTTTATTTTTGGAAGTAAAACGATTTAAAACTCGAATTTTTAAACTGCTGCGAAAGCGCGGGCTCGGAACAACTCACTCACTACCTAGAAACTGTTTTCGTCCTTTATAATGTTATACAAAAATAAAGGATAAGTATAATCGTTGAACTCATTTATATTTGTATTTTTAATGGCCGCTTGCACCGATAAGTATTCCACTTAAGTTTAAGCCAAGGAATACTCATCGCTAGCATTTCTCCATGTAAAATAGTCATTTTAAAATGGTCGGTGCAAACGGCCATAAATGTGGCAACAAAATCATGAATATCGGCTTTAGTCAATGAAACAGCTATTTTTAATTATTAATTTCAATAACCTGACTGAAATCTTGCAAAATATTGTTCAATCTCGGTTGCATCCATGTATCTGCGTCAAAAATATCCTAATTTGCCATATTCTTGACACGTGAAAGGGGCCTATTTATAACGCTGAAATCTATTTTCTTTAGGGTTTCCATACGTCCGGATTTACCCGGACATGTTTGGGTTTTTAGGGTGTCCGGGGAAGTCCGGCCGGAATTCGGAACAATGTCCGGAAAACTCGGAGATACCCAAGGATGATACACACTACTACTGTACTACTACAGGATGGCCTATCCCCATAAGTGTGTGTGTGTGTGTGTGTGTGTGTAACAAACATTGGTAACAATATTAGTTGTGACGTAGGCAGCATGTTATTTCTCGCCTTGACGTATAGGCTGCTTAAACAGCTGATGACGTCGAAAATGGTTTCACAACAATATGGCGGCATTTACCAGAAACAAGGCCGATAAGTACTCCTTAGATGAGTGTGTATTCTCCTTGGGAGATACCTACCAAAAATTCGAAATTTTGTATCCTTGGGTGGCAAGTAAATTGTATCCTGTATCCATTTATTCTGGGTTGCCTATAAGATTGATACACGTGTTATTATATTCTTGTCTCTTGTCATTGGTACCTTGTATTTGTCATTGTGTCTTCAGTCTAACGGGAAAAATGCTCAAAGCGTGTCTATTAATTTCTGTAAAAATGTATTTTTGCAAAAAAATAAACAAAATTCATCCTTTATACAAAATTTATCGGCAAGTCCGGATTTCTTGACTCCTAGGTCCTGGATTCCGAAAAACCTTTATGGAAACCCTAATTTTCTTAGGTGACAGCATTGGTGTATCCAGACCGGTGCAACAAACAGCGCAAAACATTCGCGAACGTTGCAGAACATGTCATTTTGGACGGTTGCGCGCTGAGGCCCTGCTTGCGCGCGCTCTCATCTTTTGCGCGCAAGATGTTTTCCATGTGGTGTCAGTACATAAACAAAAAATTTTT